TATATATATATATATATATATATATATATATATATATATATATATATATATATATATATATATATATATGCTTATATACGAACAAGGCTAGTCAAGCATTGATCAAGCATTGTTTCTAAGATAAATGGCCTGACTATAGCCTTATTACAAACAAAAAGAGTATAATCAAGAGTTATAACTGAAGGTAACCTGGGCAGGCTGAGCATTGTTTCTAAGACGAATGACTCAGCCCTACGCCCTCTTTTTGAAGACTAAGGTGCAGAAAGATATATATAACTTGGCTATTTAAACAGTTCAGGGCGACTAAGCATGGTTTCTAAGATGAATGACTTAGTCATATGCCCAATGAAGAGAGAAGTAATTGTGCAACCCGTTCATGTATAACTAAGGCAGAGGACTGACATTGTTTCTAAGACGAATGGTCAGTCCCAATGCCCTATGTAAGCCGGAAATAAAGGGTTAAATCACTAAAAGACTATGAACTATTGTCTGCTAAATCAACCTGGGATGGTGAGAGTACTTACCTTTGTGGTTGACCTGCATGTGACTGAGTGACATCACTACCTAGTCTGAGTTTGAGTTGATAGGTAGTTGCTGTAGTGGCTCGCCACGTGCTAGAGCTGTAGGAGTTAAATTCAATTCCTGCATTTTCTGAGATAGTTTTTTTACTTAGATCGATTTCTGCATTTATCTGAGATCTTTTCTTATACTTGGGCTTGTATAAATCTTGGTAAGTCGCTTTTCCTACGGAAAGCGCTGCCAAAATTTTTGCAAATCCAAGGAGTTAGACAAATATCTGACTTTTCAAAAGTCCAACTGTCTGAATCATATATGGACTAGTAAGAATCTGGGAAGTCTCCCTTTCTAAAGGGCTGCCCAAAGTTTTACTAACTCAGGGAGTTAGACAAAAATTGGGCTTTAGAAAGTTAAAGACTATTCCTGGTTTTATATTCAGGCTTATATAAATTCTGGAAAGGCAGTTTTCCTACGGGAAGCGCTGCCGAAATTTCCTTAGTTTAGAGGAGTTAGATTATATTATGACAGGTGGCATAGTTGGCAGTCGACTCTGTATAGGGGAAACCCAGCCAAAGGTCTACCTTTTCTTGGAGCCCCGACTTAGGACTAGGCTCGGACCTAGTTGGCGACTAGGAGGTTAGATGGGACCACCATATAAAAAAAAGCTCGCATAGGACTTACAGGTTCCGTCTTGGGCATTGACCTGTCTTGTGTTACAGGCCAACTTGATCGGTCTGATTCAGGACTAGGACTAGGGTCAGCTGATCCCTTGAGGATCATCTGTTGTTATCGTTGATAACAGGTCGGTTACCGATTTGTCGGTCCACGACTCAATTCCTACTCACTCCCCATACTCAACCTAAAAAGGCTTTGGCCCTGGTGATCTTTCTGTTTGTTAAGGGTTTCACCCAGACTTTTACTGAATGACCATTTAACAAAAGTACTGAGTACTTAATTACGGTTGGTTGGCTGGAGGTTGGGGCTTGCATGGCTAAAGCAAGGAGTATGAGTGTGGAGGTCTAGTTGGAATTGACCCCGGGTAGTGTGTGGATTTTTGTTTGGCTCCTGGTTGTGATTGCAGGTATGTACTGTGGCTTGAGTTATCGGATCGGATTGCCTGCGATCTCACACACACACATATAAATATATATATATATATATATATATATATATATATATATGGCTATGAGGAGTCCCATGGTGATTGTGAGATGCGATCATCACCTATCTATTCCCCTTTATATATGTATGTACGTATGTATGTGTACCTACATAGGGGTATTAGTGCGGCCTGGGGTGCCCGCGTACTAAGGACCTAATCGAGGGTTGGGGTGAATAGAAGGGAGGGGATGACCCCCACTATTTTCTCTTAATTTTTTTTTTTGGTCGGACGTTAGCCCTGAGCTTGGGATAGGATGGCCCTCGCCCAGGACGACCCCGGTCCCGCACCTGACACAAAAAGGGTTTTTTTTCCCTCTGATAAGCGTTAAAGGCACTTGTTCTTTTTCCTCGTTGCGATTTATTTTGGTGGAACGATAAAGTTTCGGGCGGAAGGGTTAGCTCGTTGCTGGTGATGCGCCAGACAACTCACTACCGCTCCAAACCCCTTCCTGCCCTAGGAGCCGTCTTATTCCGTCCCCTTTGGGGCACCTCAGGGTGCAGAAAACGGAGAAGCCCTCAAGCCGGTTTTGCGCCCACTAAGGGGTTAACCCTCCTTAGCGCGCGCTTCAGCCAACACCCGAGCGTTGAAGATAACCCCGTGGCTCAGAATAGGCCACTTGGGTATATGCACCACATAATGCGCCGTCATCGCAGATACTCACGTAGAGTTGCATAGTGAGATGGTATGTGTAGGTCCAGCGTCCCCGCGATCTGATATTAAGTTCGCGTGCTCAACGCCCGCCGCTTCCCGCACTAAAAGAATTATGGGTCAGGCGGCGAGACCACGAGCACGACACGGTCAATAGACTTGAGATTTTGGTATTGTGAAGCGGCACGTGGGCGGAGGACTGGTCCCAGTCGACCTATGGGAGTCCGTGTACGGGCCTCGTTATCCCGGACGCCGGGTAGCCTATGGGTAGGATACCGGGCCTCCTCCGCGCGCGCGTCGTTTGGGCTTGTCTATCCCCTTCTATTCTACAAGGCCACCAGCTAATGAGAGTTGGAGTGAGTTTTCTTTTGAAGCTTTCATGGTTGGACGTTATAGTCCGTAGCGGCCGTCAAAGTCAAACCCCTTGATGTTTGACCGCCACGACAGCTTAAAGCATTCTACTCAACCCCTCTGCACAGGGTGCAGAAGAGGGTGTGGTCTTCAACCGCGCATGGCGGTTGTCTGGCGTCGAGAGATTACCCCTCAAGGCGCTTGTCAGCCGACACTTGAATGTCGATCGCGACCCCCGAGATTAACGAGGGCCACGTGAGTATGGGTACTACATAGTACGCCATCATTGCGACCGCTTGCGTACGCTTGCATTGCGAGTCAATATGAGTAGCCCTGCGTCTGCGCGATTTCTATACTAAGCCTCACACGCGACGCCCATCCGATTTCCACGTCCAAAAGTTATGGGACGACTACTAAGGCGCTAGGAGCGTTGTTGCGTTGCTTGTGTTGTATCGTTTCGTGTGTATGTGTGTGTGTGTTCCCTTTTTGTGTTCGTAGAGTGGCGTATGCGTGGTAAGTGGGATGCGTCCTAGCTGACCGACGACGAGCCGCGCTTGAGACTTCAACCCCCCCAAGATGTCGATTCGCGTGCGGGTCCGATGGGCGTATTACCGCACGTACCCCCTATGCTACAGCGAACGAGAAACGCCCTCTGCGATTGCAACCGAGTAACTTTCGTACTGTGGACTGGTAGCTCGGCGGGGATACGCCCACCAAAGGGAGGTGACAACTCCCGTAAGGTGGAGGTAAGTTGTGCCTCGCGTAGGCCCTATCCTGTCGTAGGGGCTCGCGAGAGGTACGGTTGGCGCACTCGGCCGGGGCGGCCTAAGGAAGCTCCATTTGTGTGTTCATGACAAGGTTAGGCCAACTCCTGCGTGACGCGGCTGAGAGGGTCCCACGCTGCCGCGAGCGGTGCCGGACCGATGCGCTTGACAGGTGGCGCCGTTGCCGGGGATAACGGAAGCCTACCGTTGTCCCTGGTGGAACGACATCCGGGTACAAGTGAGCAGATAGGCATAAGAGAGCGATGCGTGTGATTGAAGTGAGAGGTGAGTGATGAGAGACTAAGTATAAAAAGGGGAAGTTAGTGTTTGTATATGTGTATTTGGTTGTCTGCCAGGTCCTAGCAAGAACGTAAAGGGTAGCAATACTCACGTCAGGGGTGAGGCTAGGTAGGAGGTGTGGGCTAGACCAGGTTGGAGTAGGATGCTAAGTAGGTGAGTGCCTTTGGTTTTCTCTTAACAGGAAATTGGAAAAGGAGGTCTACCAAGATGCCGGAGGATGGTGACGCTTTAAGGGTTCTGACCCTTGAGGACCTCATCGCAGCCCTAGACCGACATGAGAGGACCCTGAGTAATGTTCCGAAGGTTGAGACCTTCCACTTTGATGGGGAAAGGGTCTCAGACTGGTTAGACCTGGTGGAGCAGGCAATTGTGGGATTGTAAGATGAGGTGAAATACCAGCGTATTATGAGGTACGTGCTCCATAGGCACCATCAGGAGGTGCAGAAGGTTGTGGATGCTGCCCATGGCAGTTGGGCAAGATTCAGGGAGAGCATGCTGCGCAAGTATCGGTTGGGTGATGGGTTGCTTACCATCTCAGATCTTGAGGGAATGAACAAGGACGACTTCACCACGATAGGGGCCTTCGTACAAGAGTTTAATAAGAAGGCAAGGAAAGTTCACGGGATCTCTGAGGAAAGGCAATGCGCTATCTTTCTGGGGCTGCTCACTGGGTCAGAGGCAGCGGAACTGACGAGTCATGGAGCAGGCAGCGCAAAGCTTACCTGGGCCACCATCGATAGAGGAGTGGAGGATGGGAGTTTAGACCAGGTAGAGCAACATCAGATGCGCCTGCAAAGGAGGAAAAGGAAGGAAAGGGACGCTACTGCATCAGGGACCCCGGGGGTAAAAATGATCGTCACTGATGTACTTGCGGCGTTAGGCTATGGCCAGGATGCCGAGGCGCAGAAGAAAGCGGTAGCCGTGGTCCAAGGCCGAGGGAAAAAGGTGAGGGATGAAGGCGCCGGGCAAGAGGATTACGGTGGGGAGGAGACGGGGTCACAAATCCTTACCAAGGCCCTGCAGAAGCAACGAAATTTGTTGCTGGGTGGCCAAGGGTCTGGCAAGCGGTAGGTCCCCCAGGCAGTTGCCGCGACGCCAGCGGCCACCGTAACCGCGCCCGTATCGGCAGGGCCGGCGCCAATGGGACCGCCTCTGGCCTGTGGACATTGGGTACCGTATTGTCAAGCGGCACCCTGCCCAGCTATAGTCATTGCACCTCGTGTGGAGGGGGCCAAACCCATACTGGACAGTTGGTTCCATTCTCGGGTCCGTCAACGAGCGCAGGGCCGCCAAGTTTCCCGGCGATGCAAGGCCAATTCACGGCCCAGCCTCCCCCCTCACAGCAAGCATCGCAGGCTAGTGTGGCGGGAGGAGGAGGCCAAGGGCAAGGAGGACAGGGCAATGGTGGTCGGGGACAAGGAGGCCAAGAGGGTGGCGGACGAGGCCGAAATGGCGGGGGACGTGGCAGTAGATGGAACATCCAAGGGGGTCAGGGCCAAGGTGACCAGGGCAGTCAGCAAGGAGGCCAAGGGTATGGGAGACCCCGCTTCGACTGACGGAACGCGACCTGCTGGTATTGTGGCGTTGTAGGCCACACGATTCGATTCTGCCAGCAACGGCGGGATGATGAGCTTGCGGGCCTGATTTCCTCCTGTATGGATGGGGATATATACGACAAGTGGGGGGAACACATTGACCCCAAGTCCCCAAGAGGAATCAGGCAGGAGGCCCTCAGGCGGGCGGCGGTAGGGCCATCGGCCGCCCCGACCTTGTTTAGAATGTGGCAGGAGAGAGAAGACCCGGCCATAAGAATCGAAGAGATCACGGGGGATAGTGAGGAGGTTACGCAACGATTAAAGGCCGGGGTCATAAAGGAAGAGCCAATAATTGTTGAGTCAGATGACGAGGGGAGAGAGGATGAAGGGGGGCTGACCGTAACCACCCTGGAAAAGATGGAGGATTTGGTAGAAAAAATGGGGAGGTACCAGCGGAGGCTGAAAGAGCTATGTGATGAAGTCCGAGGGTGGAGAGCCGACCTCCCAAAGGTCTTCCTCTATGAGATCGGGCCGGGGCCGGCAGCTGGACAACAGAGTAGCCCCGGGGTTGCCGTGGCAGGGCCTGGCCCCAGGTCAAGAATGATGTTCAGGCCGCCCATCCCACATGGGCGGGCGCCGCAAGCAACTCAAACCAGGAGCAAAAGTAAAGTGGGCCCTAGTCAGCCACCAAGTCAAGCGCCAAGTCAGGCACCTTCACGGAAGAGACCTGAGCCTGAGCGTAGGAAGGAGGTGGTCGAGGTCCAGGAAGAAGAGGAAGAGGGAGACGACACGGAGGATGAGAGGCTTCGTCAGGAGGAGGATCGGCGGATGGAGCAAAGAGCCCAGAGAAGGGAGGCTCAGGAGAGATCCGAGCCACATCTACAGGAAGGTGTGCCCAGGAAGAGAAAGTACACCGTCAGGTTGGAGGAAGACTTCGACGTGGAAAGAATGGTGGACCGGCTCCTTGAAGGTCATAACGACCTTATGAACTTGAAAGATATTCTGGCGTCAACACCAAGACTCCGGGAGGAGTTCAAAGGGCGATTGTCCCAAAGGCTAGTGCCCAACGTGCATTTGAGCGTCGTTCTGCCCAAAGAAGTGGGATGGACACAAGCTGGGACAAGAATGGACTGGAAGTGTGCGGCATGCGGATTGGTGGATTTGGTAGTAAAAGAGAAGAAGTGCGTGGCGATGATGGATACGGGCGCTGAAATGAATATCATTAGGGAACGAGATGCGCTCATGCTTGGGATAGAGATCGACCGTGCGGATCACGGCGTGCTGCACGGAGCCAACTGCAAGGCAGTTTTTTGCGGCACCGCGTCGAATGTGATTATAGAGATTGGCAAGGTGCGAGCGAGGACGTGCTTTTTCGTCATGCCGGACGTAGACCACCCTATCCTTTTGGGCAGATCGTTCATGTGCAGGACAAAGACCTTGATCTTCAATAAGCACGATGGGACGATGATATTGAGCCAGCCTGTGGGAACTACGAAGTCGTCACCTGCCGGAACACGGGGCCAGAGAGCAATCGGAATAGGCCTAACCCCGGCTCATTCACCTATGTGGAATCAGAGAACGAGCGGCGGAGTCTCGCGGAGGAGTCCAAGGAGGAAGGTGGGGTGGAGGTGCTGTCGCTAAGCCTTACAGACGTAAGCAAGGCTATGGAGATTGTGGCAGCACATGAGATGGCGGACCCAGAGGTCATCAAGGCCTTGCGAGAGCACGTTTTGGAATGCCCACAGACATGAGAAGTGGAGCTTATCTATCGACTTCTTGGAGGGAGGAAAGGGCCTGCGATGGCACAAGCGCAGACGACAAGCCGACCTTTTTTACGGGACGGCTTAAGCAGGGCGCCCAAAGGCGGTACAAAACGGTAGATAAAAAGTGCCGCCCTGTTCCCGTGCTCGTTACGGAAGATGAGGAGGCTTATTACGAGCGGGAGCGAGGGTTGATACGGCGGATGCAAGAGCAGGCGCTGAAGGATCCATGTCGTATCAATGATGGAAATGAAGAGAAGTTGATAGTCGGGGAACCAGGCTTTCTTTTGCCCCAAGAAAAAGCGTTGATGGTGCAACTAATGAAGAAGAGGCATCGCGCATACGCCTTTAATGATGACCAGCGCGGGAGGCTGGATGTGGACAGGATCCCAATGATCCGGATCCACACGGTCCCCGACGAGCCCTGGAATCTAAGGGGTGCGCGATACCCAAAACCTAATGAGGAGAAGATGGTGGTGGACTATCTGGATGGCAAAATGCGCACGCATGTTGTTGGCTACTCTAGCGGTCCGTATGTTTCCCCTTGGTTTTGCTTCATTAAGTCGAACGGGACGCTATGGTGGGTACAGGATCTGCAGCGACTAAATGCGGTAATGGTGCGAGATGCGGGAGGCTTGCCGAACGCAGATGCACTGTCGGAGTCATGCGCGGGGAGACCTATAATCTCACTTATAGACCTCTATTCCGGGTATAATCAGTTTCCTGTATACCCGCCCGATAGTCCGGTGACGGCAATGCACACGCCAAGGGGGTTGATCCACATGAATGTGGCCCCTCAGGGTTGGACGAATGCGGTGGCGATGGTGCAGAGACATATGATCAGGGCCATGCAAACAGTCAGCCCGCACATCACCCAGCCTTACATCGACGACTTGGCGGAAAGGAGAAAGAGGAGGACGAGGTGCAGCCCGGAGTGAGACGCTTTGTTTGGAGGCATATCCAGGATCTCGATCGAGTCTTGGGTCTGCTAGAGGAGCACAACCTCACTGCGAGTGGGCCAAAGCCCAAGCACTGCATGAGAGAAGCCACCATCCTGGGGTTTGTTTGCAATGAGAAGGGTCGAAAGCCGGACGTGAAAAAGACAGACAAAATCCTAGAATGGCCGGTGCCTTTCCAGACCATAACGGATGTGAGAAGCTTTCTTGGCACTTGCGGATTTTGGAGCAGCTTCGTGAAAGACTTCGCCGCCAAGACTGAGCACTTAAGGAAGCTGGTGCGTCAGGACCAGGAATGGGTTTGGGGCAAAGACCAGGAAGAAGCGGTAACCAGGATGAAGGGAGAGTTCAGGGAAGGAGGATTGGTGCTGGGGGCGTCAAATTATGAAGGGACAAAAGAAAAGTCATTCATCATCGAAACAGACGCCGGACCAACTGCATTGGGAGGAGTTTTGGTCCAGGCGGATGCCGAAGGAAAGGAGAGGCCGCTAAGATTCGAAAGCCGTTCTCTTAACACGACTGAGAGGAACTACTCTCAGTTTAAGAAGGAGACGCTTGCAGTACTCCATTGTCTAAGGATCTTCCGAAATTATGTCTTCGGCAGGAGATTTATATTGAGGGAGGACCCTATGGCGCTGGCCTGCTCTTTAAAGAATTATACACCAGTTGACCCAACCGTCGCTCGATGGTGGACATACATTTGGATGTTTAATTTCGAGTTGGAAAGGATCCCAGGAAACAAGAATAGAGTTGATGGCCTGAACCGCGTCAACTGGGACAGTGCGGATAAGGGGTCGACCGAAGACACCCCGCCAGTCGACGGGTTCCTGGATCAAGAAGAAGATGTGCGACTCCATATAAACAAGTGGACTCTACGAGTACCCAGTTGTGTTAGCCATCCCATATGGATAGCACCAAGAGGATATGAGCGGAAGACCGACTTAGTCCTTAAGCCATTTCAGGAAGAAGATCCGTGGGGAGGTAAGGACACCTAGTGGATGATGAAGTTGGTGTTGGTAGGGACACATGGCTTGGTGGAAGAGGTGAGGACAATAGAGGAAGGGCCTACTCAGGTAGAGGAGCATGAGCAGCTAATGGGAGGGATGTATCTGCTCACTAATACGCTCCTGCAAGGAGACTTCGACCGGAGAGGCTCGTTTAGTCATGAGGAGAATGAAATCCTGATTCTGGAAAGCCAGGATGACGAGTTCGAAGAAGGGGAGATTAAGGAGGCATTCCGGGCAGAGGAATACGACGGGATTTATCTTGAGCTAGACCTACTTCTATCCTGTGAGATGAGGGACAGGGATACTAGCGACAAGGCGCAGAAGATGAGGCACCTCTACGTGGTGAGAGATGGGCATCTGTTTATAAAGCGGCAAGTTGGGAACCCCAAGCGGATTGTGTGCGGGAGGAACCGAAAGTTGGACATCATAGCAGCATTACATGATGGTATAGCAGGAGGGCACGGAGGGATAAGTGCCACATGTGCGAAGATAAGTGATCTATACCACTGGGATGGAATGTTGACCATGATCATCAAATACTGCCAATCTTGTGTCCCGTGTTAAGAGAGGTCAGCGCAAAGGCCGGGAGAGCCCCTGCACCCAAGGCTGGAAAGGGAGGTGGGTGCGGTTGTACACCTGGACCTATTGTTTATGCCAATTGAGGAAAATGGGTACAATTATATCTTCGATGCTCGGGATAACCTCACTGGGTTTGTGGACGGGCGGGCTATCCAAACGAAGACTGGGCCAGTTTTGGCAAATTGCATCGAGGAGTATTACCTGCGCTATCCTTTCGTCAAGGAGTTCGTGATGGATCGAGGGTCGGAGTTTACCTGCAATGAGGTGCGGACCTTGCTTGCTGGGTATGGGGTAGTGGCCAACTATACTACGGCCGCACACCCTCAAGCAAATGCTCCTGTGGAGAGGGGGCACAATACCATCACGAATCTCTTGGCTAAGTGGACGGAGGGCAAGCCTGGTCAGTGGCCGAAATTCCTACGAGCGGTTTTTTTCGTGGAGAATATTACTGTGAAGGGGTCTACCAAGTATGCGCCAGCCACGCTATGGTACGAGAGGCACGACACCTTCCCTATAAAAAGCTTTATGAAAATGTGGAGGCGCCAAGACTTGGAAGTAAACCTGTCCTTTGAAGAACTTCTCGACATCCGGGCACGGCAAGTGGGAGCGGCCGAGGAAAGACTACGAGAGGCCGCTGGTCAGGTAGAGAGAAGCCGCATGGAGGATAAGATGAGGTGAGATCAAATGGCCCGAGTGCGGAAAGAACCCTTGGCAGTGGGAGATAGTGTACTATTATACGACTCATCCCTGGAAAAGCAGTGGCCAAGAAAACTTGACAGAAGATGGTTGGGGCCCTACAGGATTGTGCGATGCGGCGAATTTGGGGCATACCAGATCGAAGAGCTAAATGGCACGAAATGAAAAGATTGGGTATCCGGGACAAGGCTAAAGAAGTTCGTGGCCAGGGAATAGGTAAAGCCGCAATCCCTCGCAAAAGCTATAAAAAAAGAAAAAAGAAAAATCCCAAGTAAAAGTCCCACTGGTTATCCCCCCTTCCAATGCCTCTCCCACCACTCCCATACCACAAGTGAAAAGTAGTCTCCCACGCCCACTTACAGCAGCTGCAGGTGGCCAGACATCTCCACCGTTTTAGAGTTTTAACCAAACAGCAGAAGCTGTTGCCAGTTGGGAATGCAGGAAAAGAATGCTGGCCAGTTTCTGGGAAGGCAATGGGACTTGCTCCACTACTCACCATGTGCACAAGAGACTCAAAGTATCGCAGTGTACTGTCCTATGTTGTAGCGGAAATTCATTCTCATTTTCAACATATGGTGAGTAGTGGAGTGAGGCCCAATGCCTTCAACTCTTTCCATAGAGTATACAGCTGTCCCTGTGCAACCAGCGACAAGGTTTGATCGCTCGGGTCTCTTTGTGACCAGATCCACAGGATTCTTCTTCACTTGAGCTTGGAGGTGCCATCGGTATCTCTCCGAGTAAAATACCGACTCAAATCAAGAATTTCTGAGTACTAGCTGGATTTACCCATCCCACTGCTGTTGGAACAATAGGCAAGGAATCAATAGTCCTACCTCCTGCCTATTGATTCCTTGCCTATTGTTCCAACAGCAGTTACCATTTTACTTTTTGGTTTACATGGAGACCAACTGCAGGGTCTCATCAGATCCTACTTTGAGGGCATACTCCGGGCGCGTGCGCGCGCACACACACACACACACACACACACACACACACACACACACACACACACACACACACACACGGAGTACACGGCCTAATTTTCTTTGCCCTGCTTTAGAGCATGGGCTGTTTACGGGTGGCCACAAGCTCTCTTTTGAAGGAATGTATGTTGTGGGCCGGCGTGGAAGGCTTTCCCAGTTTTTTGGGACCTTTAGCAGAGGGGGTTGCTGCGTTCTTGCTGGAGGAGTCTTCTGTCTTAGGTAAGTTCTGTTATGTTCTTCCTCTTTGGCAGTGATGCGAGTATGTAGGGTTTTTTTTTTTTTTTTTTTTTTTTTTTTGTGTGTGTGTGTGTGTGTGTGTTGTTTGAGATGAATGTCGGGAAATGCCAATGCTGTTATATTTTATTGTTTTTGGTAAATGACTTTTTGGTTTAGTGGGCCGATGCGGAAGGCTCTCCAAGTTTTTTTCGGACCTTTGAGGGGGTCGGGTCGGTGCCTTCTTGTTGGAGTAGTCTTCTGTCTTAGGTAAGTAGCAAAGCAGGTAGGTAGCATTTGTCAGCGGGCCATCCGAGCCACGGAAGGTGGCAAATTGCGGGCACCTCCAGAGGTGCTCGCAAAACAGTATTTCGTTTCATTTCATTTCAGAAAACAAAACACCAAAAGCAAAGGCAAAAAAAGGAAAAAAAAAAAAAAAAAAAAAAGAGCCCGCTGTCTGCTATCCCGTTTCATTTCATTTCCGAAAACAAAATACCAAAGCAGAGGCAAAAAATGAAAAAAAAAGGACAAAAAAAAAAAAAAAAAGAAGAGCCTGATGTCTGCTATCCTCTGTGTAACTACGCTGATAGCAGATGGAGCACATGTCGGACAGTTGCCGCATTGTCTCATTGAAGAAAAACCTATTGTGTGTGACCATGCCACACAGCAAAATTGCAAATTCGCAGTAGCAAACATTGCTGATTTTGCAATTTCTCCCTCCGTGTGTGAGGGCCTTGCCACACATGTCAGACAGTTGCTGCACTGTCTGATTGAAAAAAATGTATTGTGTGGGACCATGCCACACAGCAAAATTGCAAAATTGCAAAATTGCAAAATTGCAGCCACAAAAATTGCTGATTTTGCAATTCCGCTTACCGCGTGTGAGGGCCTCTCGCACACCACCCTGGAAAAAATGACCATTTTTTTTCCGGGAGTGCAGCATCGCCACACCAGCCCCCACATTATTCAGTGCGATGCGTGAGATTGAATTTGGGAGCTGTCAGAATGCAGTGCCCGAGAGCACTCCTGAAAATCCCCCCCTTGGTCTCCCAGCCTGCAAATTTCAATTTCCGAGAGACTTCCCTGGGACCTCCGAGTTCCCTCCAAGATTTGGGAAAATTTGGGACTGGATCTGGACGGGACAGCAGACTTCTGTCAGAATGTGTCATACTGAACTTGTCCAGGAGCGGCATATCTATCATGTTGGCAACATCCTTTTTTTTTTTTTTTTGTGGGGAACATCTATCTTGTTGAGAATTGGAGAGTGTCCCATTTGAGAGTGCGGCCCGAAAAGGATTTCAAGTCCAAGAGCACTACCTGAATGTTTCTTTGACTTGGGGCCTCGCCACACTACTCCCGACTTGGCCATGCAGCATCGCCACACCAGCTCCCGAGTTCAACCTGTCAGATTGAATTCAGAAGCTGTCAGAATGTGCCTCCCCAGAGCACTCCCAAACTCGCCGCCTGCAAAGCTGCCTTTTCGAGAGACCTCCTTTGCTCCTCTGAGTTTCATCCCAGATTCGGGAACGGAGGTGGAAGGGCCAAACAACTTCTGCCAGAATGCTTCACACTGAGCGTGTCCACATGTGGCAAATGACATTTTCAGACTTGGAGCGTGGCCGGGTTGAGAGTGTAGTGTGGCGAAAGGCACTCCCGAGCGGGCTTCTGGGAGCAGTCCCGAAAATGTTTCAAAGGCCGGAGTGGTGTGGCGACGCCCTTGGTCTGTGGTGTGGTGTGGCGAGGCCGTGAACATGGGCGTCTCCACACCACTCTGGAAGTGTGAAAAGAAACAGAAATGTGGCCGGTGCACCTGGCCATGTTCTACCTCGTTTTTCACATTTCGACAGTGGTGTGTCGGGGTCATGAATATGACCTGATTTGAATGTGGTGCCTACTGAAGCACAGAAATAGGACCTCGCCATGCCAGACCGCCCCGAGAATCTGATGATGAATAATTCCGGGAGTGCTCTCTGACGAGGAACCCTGTTCACGAGCGCCATTCGCCACACTGCACTCTGGAACGGGATGGTCTCCAAGGTCTGAAATTGAGGAGGGCCTTGCCACACCACTCTCGAAAGTGCAGTGTGGCAGGTGCATCTGGCCATGTTCTAGGGGGAAGTTCATTCTCATTTTTGGGAGAAACCCTGCTTCAGTGTGCACATTCTGAAGGATGTCTGTTGTCCCTTCTAGTGGGTGGAACTCCTAGGGCCTTGCCACACCTTTCTCGAAATCTGAAAAAGACAAAAATGTGGCAGGTGCATCTGGCCATGTTCTAGGGGGAAGTTCATTCTCATTTTGCAGGTTTCGGGAGTGGTGGGGGGATGCCCTCAGAGGTCCAAAGGAGGTCTCTGGGAAATGGAAATTTGCAGGCTGAGAGGAGGCCAAGGGGGTGCTTTCCGGCTATGCATTCTGACAGCTCCCGACAGCCCCCAAATTCAATCTGACACACACTTCTTTTTTTTTTTTTTTTTTTTTTTTTTGTTGGACCATTTCTCAATTTATGCGTGTCATCCTTGCAGGCACGCTAATCTTTTCTGTATCCCAAAAAAAAAAAAAAAAAAAAATCTTCTCTGTATGGTTTCAATTTTGATGTCCAGAAGGACAAACACACATTGAATCCGGGAGCTGGTGTGGGGATGCTGCACTCCCTGAAGCTGCCATTTCCCGGAGTGGTGTGGCGAGGCACATGACCTCGAAATCACCCTTGTGAATCTGTGTGTTCAGCCAACCAGGTCCATTGTCATCGGGCTACTGCTAGCTATGGGGTTGGGAAGCACATGGGGGTACCCTCTTTTTTTTTTTTTTGGTAACAAGCCAAGACATTTACGGGCCCCTTTTGCTTTTCTTTTTCCTTTTTTTTTTGCCTTCTCCTCATAGGACCCATCTTGAACCCACGACCTCCTGAATGGACGTTCAGTGCCTTACCAACCGAGCTAGGCCCGCAGGCCTTTTTTCGTCTCTTTTGTATTTTCTCCCTGGCCCTTCTCTCTTCTCTTCCTATTTTGTCTATGGGCCTCGCTGCACCACTCGGCAAATGTGCAAAATGAGACTGAATCCACGGTTAGAACTTGGAAAGGTACATTCCCATCGTTTTTGTCTTTTGTGCATGCGGAGAATAGTGTCTTTCTTGTCTCTTGTCGGAAACACCCCTCTCCTTTCGCACGTTGTTTTCTGCGTTTTCTTTTTGGCGTGAACAGGTATTTGGGTTGAGCTGCGCATTGCGAACCCATAACTAGCAGCAGGACAATAAAATAGCCATTGAAATACTCTTCCGCACACATATCTTGTCGCCGGGATGAGTCGCGCCGTCCTGTAATCCATGCTTTCGGAGGCTGGGTGGTGTGGACGTCGGGTCTCTTGTGAGAGCCTAAGTATGCACGTAGAGAGCTCGTCCGCCTCGAGCTGAGATCCATCTGCGTGGTCCCACCGGAAGGAGGGGGTGTGCAGATGTTAGAGAGTGGGGGAACGCGTGAGGCGGGAAACCGAGCAGCGAAGACCCTCCAATCCCGGTAGCGAGGGGATAGCGAGCTTGAGTGTCTTATTCAGATCACTCTCCCAAGTCCGACACGGGGTACCATCACCTTTTGCCGTTTTCTGTGAGACTGAAAACCGGGGGCCCTCAGAGGTCCGAAACATTTCCCTCTCTCTACTCTTTCGCGAGGTTTTAAACCAGGGGCCGTGCGTGACCCACTAGTGGGAGGGGCATAATACCATCACCTTTTTCATACCGGGGGCCCTCCTCTCTACTCTTTCGCGGGCCCTCTTCTCTCTACTCTTTCGCGAGGTTTTATATCGGGGCCAGTGCATGACCCACTACTGGGGGGGGCTTAGTTTATGTTTCGTATATTTTCCAACATGGCCATGAGATTTTCATATCGGATGGCATATCGGATGGCAAGGAGCCATGTACACTCGAAACCAGAACAAAACCGCGAGAAGTGGGAACGAGGCAGCGGTAAGTCCCACTACCATCTTTCCCCCTTTACAACACTACATGCATTTGGACGTTTTGTGGACCAGATGCATTTTGGCGAGTCTGACTTTTCCAGAATGCATCCAAATGCATAGAGTAATTTCGTAGTTTTTAGTTGTAT